TATATATATATATATATATATATCATCAATAATATGTAAACATTTGAAATGTATGTTAATGTTGTTAATTATTTTGTATTGTGATGCTTTGGCAACATTGTTTAATTTAACTTTCATGCCAATAAAGCCCCTTTGAATTGAATTGTGTGTGTGTGTGTGTGTGTGTGTGTGTGTGTGTGTGTGTGTGTGTGTGTGTGTGTGTGTGTGTGTGTGTGTGAGAAGACCGGATACAGACATTTACAAGTCCAGCTACCATTTACTTGTAGCTTTCACTTTTTAGTTTAGGCAAATAATATCATTTGTTTATTAAGACCTTCATAAATAACATAATCATTTAAGGTAGCCAGTTTCCATATATGGTAAATTAAAGCTGATTCAAAGGTGAAATTACACAATAACTACCTCTGTGTGATGATGAGGAAAAGTAATGCTATTGTAAATGTAAAGTGATTTCTAGCTCGGCAGATAGCTTAAAAGTGTCTTCAATAGAAACCGAGGAGACAGCAAACGCTTGGATAGGCAATTTGTTGTAAAGCTGAAATACAGAAACAAACATGTGTAATGAGTTTGACTTTTGTTGTCACATTAAAACCCTACAGTACATGCAAAGTGTCCCTAGACAACATGATGCTAACACCTACGGTTATCAGGCCGTGCAGATGTAAAATATTGAAAAAGGACACTGCCGAAAAATGTAGATTAAAAATCCCTCCTGAATAGTGACCCTGATTGAGGTAATCTGATTACCTGTTACCGTGGGGACTGGAGGGGAGATAAACCCACATACCTGTCATCCTCCACTGAGAGCCCCAGCGCCAGTCTACACACACACACACACACACACACACACACACACAGACAGACAGACAGACAGACAGACAGACAGACAGACAGACAGACAGACAGACAGACAGACAGACAGACAGACAGACAGACAGACAGACAGACAGACACGTGAAACCTGGAGAGCTGTTTTCATAACCCATATCAGTCCCACGAGAGTGTATGACACTGGTGTTCATAACCATGTGGCACCAAGGCGTCTTTTGTCTTTACGAGTTATGGGTTTTATTTCGGATTATGACGGCCCTTTTCTTATATAACTTGATCCCAACGAGCGTCTTTCTTGTAAGTAGAAGTAAAAGAAAAGATGAAAGACAGACATCAATGTTCAATCCAATGAATACATCCTATTGGCTTTTTGTCGTGGGAACCATTACGATGCTAACTTTTGGGTTGGCCCACAAATATTGTTGTGGACAGCATTTGTTTAAAGTTGCTCTGTAAATAAGTGCAAGTTGTAAACTGCATTTAAACTCTTTCCACCTCTTACTCATAACTTCCTCCTTGATATTTTTTACCATCAGGTCCAGGGCTGACAAACTTTCACTGCACAAAGTTTATCTGTTTCACACAGCCCAGAAAAATGCTAAATCCTGAGCTCAAGATCGAAGTAATAACTCAAAGGATTTAGAACACATCAACACTGAGGTATGATTTACACAGATTAAGATACAGATTAAGTTAAAAGGCAGATTGTTGGAATATGACTGTACTTCTAACAAAACCAAAAGTGCTTTTATTGGAATGAAGAAGCAGATGTAGTACGAGGAAAAAACTAAAATGTATTAGATCTGAAGTGTTATTTGCACTAACTTCAGATGTTTCGAATAACCTGTAAAAACAGAACAACATACTCCGCTGTAATCAAACACAGCATTCAATAAATGTTTTATGAGCAACGTAAATGTTTGAAAAATCAGGGCTGCGGTTTCCATTAGAGGCGCTTCAACTTTATTGCAGTAAGTGATGAAAATGAGTGTCAGTGTTGATGTATTTTATGTTGCCATTCTGGCTAAGTCCCCCCTCTTTAAAGGAGATATTGAGATTCCAACAGGGTGGGATGTGTGGATCTTTATTTGATTATAAAAACATCAGTTCAGTGTCTCATGTCTTCAGGGCTTTCTGATGCACAATCACCAGCTCAGACTGTACACATGCAGCCGTTTACACTGGGATCAGGACTGAACCACCCACTGTCATCAGTGTGATGCTGAGTCATAAAACTACAAATCCCTCCTCGTAGCTGTGGGATGACAAAGGCTTAGGAGTAACAATTTGTTACGGGTACTTTTTGCTACTATCTTGCCCCCGAAAGGAGTAATTATGGGGGATGGTTTCGGGCTGCCACCTGTCTTTGCGGCATCTTTCTGATTCTGAAACAATGCATTGTTTTACTTTTTTTCTCATTCGAGGCAAGTTGGGACAGGAGTCAGAAACTTCCCCACGGGCTCCCTTCTGTGCCACTGTGATATCTGTGTTCTTTTTGCATTCTTTCAAGAGCTTAGGGGCAAAGATTGGTCTATTTACAAAATAGTGTAGGTACAAGGTAAGACTTGTGTACTCAATACTTGTTTTTTTTGCAGATATACAAAGTAAAACACAAGTCTACCCACTCATGGCCTGATTGTGTCCTACATTACCTGACGTTAATTTGTCTTTTCCTTTCTTTCCTTTCTCAGGTCCGAGGATTGTCATGGAGGTACCAAAGATGGCATCTTTAGGAACAACTCTTCTTGCTTTGGCATCAGTGCTCCTACACTCAGCGAGGTCTCAGGGGGTTATGGGAAAAGGCAAAGACAGCTTGCCGCTAAGGTTCACACATCATCTCTACAACGCCTCCATCTTTGAGAACTCTGCGCCACGGACGTACGTTGAGACGCCGGTGAAAATGGGCATTGAAGTGACTGATGTGTTCTGGGAAATCAAATATAACATTGTCTCAGGTGATGACGACAAACTTTTCCAAGCAGAGGAGGTTACAGTTGGGGATTTCTGCTTCCTCAGGATCAAAACACGCAGCAGTAACTCAGCACAGCTCAACAGGGAGGTCAGAGACTCGTACACTCTCACAGTGGCGGCCACCGAAAACACTTTTGACTTCCAGGCGAAGACGAAGGTGTTTGTCCAGGTGCTTGACACCAACGACCTTAAGCCTCTTTTCTATCCTGCCTCATACAACCATGCTATCAGGGAGGACAGTCCACTTCAGTCAAGTGTGGTGAGAGTTAGTGCTACAGATGCTGATATCGGCAGCAACGCTCACTTTTACTACTCTTTCACCAGCAGAGCTCACCCTTTTGTCGTCGACCCTTTCACAGGAACTGTCAGTCTTGTCAGGAAGCTAAATCACACCCGAACAGACAGGTACGACCTCACAGTGTTAGCAGAGGACAGGACAAAGAAGATATCTGGGGTTAAAAAATTTGGTAATGTTGCCAGAGTTACAATAAATGTACAAAAGATGGCAATGAGTTCTCCAGTCATCACCCAGACCCCCAAACCCACAGTGTCTACAGACGGCAAAATAACTATCAATGTCCACGTAGAGGCGGGAGCTAAGCCGGTTGAATCCCTGATTGTTGTTGGAGGAGATCCCCACAAGTGTTTTGAGGTAATCCCTTTAGGTGTGCAGGGCACTGACTTCCAAGTGATCTCTACTAAGAGGATTAACTGGTCTCAGAGTCCTTTTGGGCTGAATATGTCCCTTCAAGCCAAAGACAGGAGCTTCCCTAGTTTACTCTCTCCAGCTGCACACATCCACATTCCTGCCTATCATTACACGCCCCTGGCATTTTTAGAGGACACCTACATCGTCCCTCTGAGTGAGTTTTCACCCCCTAAATCTCATGTGGTTAAAGTGTCAGTCACCCCAGTAGCTTATAATGTCACATTCAGTATCAAGAATAATCCGGACAGTACTAAATTTAAAATAAATCCCAAAACAGGAATCATCATAACAACAGAGACATTCGACTATGAGAGAAAGGATCGATATGAGTTCGATGTTGTGGCCAATCACGGCGAGGCTGAGACTCACATAGTGGTTGAGATTATCGATGAAAATGACAACAGCCCACAGTTCGCACACACCTCCTATCAGGCCACGCTGGATGAAAACTCCCCTGTTGGAAGCACTGTTGTGAAAGTAGTTGCCATAGACAAAGATAAAGGTAAAAACGGCTTTGTGACTTACACTATGGCGAGTCTAGGCCCCTTACCTTTCATCATAGACCCGTTCACAGGCGTCATCTCCACCTCCGAACATTTAGATTACGAGCGGATGAAAAGGCGGTACCATCTGAGGGTTTGGGCGTCAGATAGCGGAAAACCCTTCAGTCAGGTCAGCGAATGCCCCGTGACGATAACCCTGAACAACATGAACGACAACATGCCTTTATTTGAGAGAGTTGGATGCAACACAACTGTACCGCAAGATTTACCCCTTGGACACACAATCGCCGAGCTGTCAGCCATTGATGTAGATGAACTGCAGCAGCTGAGGTACGTCATCGAGTCAGGGAATGAACTCCAAGTTTTTTCTATCAACCCGGTGTCAGGATCAATCACCCTGAAACAACCGATCCCCCTGCGAGCATCTTCGTTCGATTTGAGAGTTGTAGCCACGGATGGAAAGCATTCCTCCGAAGCTTCACTCGTCAGGGTGACTGTAACGAACAGAGGCGATGAAGCAACGCTCGTTTGCCAGGAAACTGGCATTTTCAAACAGCTGACTGATAAACTGATTGAGTACATCAAACCCATTTTAATCAGTCAAGAGGAAGACATTTTTTCTGATGTTCACATCACCAACCGACACTCTCCAAAGTTTGACTCAAGCATCCCGGGGTCAATCGATCTCATTGAGGACCACCCGCTGAATTCCTCCATTATTCAGTTCAAGGCAACAGACACTGACACTGGGTTCAACAGTAAGCTGGTGTACGCCATATCTAGCGGGAATGAAGATGGGTGTTTCTCTATTGATGTATTCTCGGGTGATCTTCAGTTAGTTTGCTCATTAGACAGAGAGAGTAAGGAGTTCTACATTTTGAACGTCACTGTTTATGATCTGGGAATACCGCAAACATCTGCGTGGAAGTTCATTGCCGTGAACGTCATGGATGTCAACGACAATCCTCCGGTTTTTGATCAGCCGAGATATGTGATACGTGTGCCTGAAAACACAGAGCAAGACTCCATTATCTTTACAGCTCAAGCTATTGATCCTGACGTAGATACAAGCGGGAATGTCGAATACTCCTTGCTGACGTCCACTGACATGTTCAGGATTGACGAATTGACCGGCGAGGTGACGGTAACGGGTGCGTTGGATCGAGAAACTTCACCCAGGCACGACCTCAGGATCGAAGCTAAAGATCAAGCGAAACCTGGACCTCAGTTGTTCTCCATGATTGACCTTGTGGTGGTTTTGCAGGACAGTAATGATAACCCACCCAAGTTTGTACCCAAGGTTTACAAGATAAAAGTCCCAGAGGATGTTCCCGTTGGCACCCTCCTCGTCTGGGTTGAGGGTGTTGACTTGGATTTGGGCAGCGGTGGAATCGTCACCTATAATCTCAAGAATACTGAGGGTGGTATCTTCCATCTTGACGCCTCCACAGGGGCTTTGATCCTTGAGAGGGAGCTGGACTTTGAGAGGCGTCCGATTTACAACCTCACGGTTCGAGCTGTTGATCACGGACTCCCTCGATCTCTTTCCTCCTCATGCTTCGTGGAGATTCAGGTTCTGGATGTGAACGAGAACCTGAACAGGCCTGTGTTCTCAGAGTTTGTGTATGAAGCCGGAGTGATGGAGGATGCAGCTGTGGGGACATCCGTGGTGATGCTTACAGCCTCAGATAAAGACCCGGGCAGAGATGGAGTCGTTCGATACCACATCCATGAAGGCTCTGGTCTTGGAGTGTTCACCATTGATGAGGAAACAGGTAAAAGCTATTGTGATTTTGTTGGTTGGATTTGTCAGTGGTAAAGCAAAAATGGGACGATATTTGTTTGTGTTTATCTACAGAATGGCTCTCCATTGAACACAAATCAAGTTTGAACAAGTTATTAGTTAGAATTAATATAAATAAAAATATCCTTTTATATCCTAAACCATGTTTGACTAATTTGCCCTTATTTGCCTGATTTTAATACAAAATATAGATAAGCAAAACATGAATTTTTTTTTAGATCTGACCGAATTTTTTTTTTTTTAGTTTGTTGTCAGATTAAAAGTCAGAATAATGTGAAAGTAATTTATTTAAAAATCTGAGAATTAGAAGAAAAAAGTCAGAATTTTGAGAAAAAAGTCAGAATTCAAGGTAAAACATTTTATTTTATTTTTTTATCTGAAAATATAATTCAAATGAGAATTTTCACTTTATCTCAGATTTCTCCGTTTAAAAAAATATATAATTAGTAATGAGCTATTTTTATTTATATCCGAAAAATAGAATTCAGATTTGTTTTCCAAACCTCTAAAAAAAAAATCACTTTTGGTATGATCCACATTTTTTTTAACATAATAATAATAATAATAATACATGTTATTTATAAAGTGTTTTTTTTCCTGGTGCTCAAAGCGTTTTACAAGGAAGTAAAGAAGAAAAATAACAACACATGTGGCCCTAACGCTCTTACGCATACATCCATGTTTGCCAGATATTTAAGATTGAAATTACCTGGAAAACAGCAGTTGGCCAATTTGCCTTAAAAAGCTTAGACATGACAAGTCAACTAAATGTATCTACTATGTCTGTGCTATGATTGAATACACAAGACACATGTACTGATGGACCTTGTGGTGCAATTATTTTTCCAATTGTTGGTCCAGAATGACCTTTCATTGTGAACATTATGTATTTTCTACATCTCAAATTGTGTTTTGCATTGTTAGAGTGAAGGATCCAGCTAGAAAACTTCACCAAGTAACATTTTTGTAAGGATATTGAGTGACATGGCTACACCACGTCTTCAGAACATTTTTACAGCCATACATTTCCTCATGTAGTTGTGCAACATGACATCTCCTCTGGCGGTTTGTGTGTTTTTCCATCAGCGTGTCCTTTGCAGAGGATACCCTGCAACCTCTGAACACATCGCTCCGCATTCCTTCAGCCTGCTGCTGCACTTAAGCTCAGATAAAATCAGGGCAGATAGAGTTTTCTGTCATATTGAAACACTCTGGAATATATCTCTTTTCCTATGTTGCCATCATGTTTAGCTCTGCCTGAGGTCATCTGAAATTAAAACTGCTTTTGATCAAAACTATGTGAAGGAAAGTCGACTTCCCTTGTTTTTAGACCCCTGGCGTTTCATAACTAACCTGTGGCACCAAGCTTCTTCTACACTAAAGAAGTTTTAAATTAGTTATGGCAACAGAAATGTGTCGTGCTTCTGAGCTTTTGGGCACCAATCCAAACTTAGACTCGATGATTGAAAATACCTTAAGGGTGGTGACAGTTATAAAACATAAAATTAATGAGGGATTAATTCCTGAGGCACATCAGCCGGTTTCGAACAAGTAAAGGTACCGCAGTATCAGGTCTAAAACCACCAGACTCAGGGACAGTTTTATTCCACAGGCCATAAAAAGTAGTGCAAAAAGTATACATGTAAATAGAATATGATATGTACAAGAACAGAATATGAAATTAAATAATGTAAATTAAGACTAAATTAAATACGGAGCCTGTGACCTAAGTTTTTCATTGTCATATCTACACTGTAGCTAATGAGTGATTCTTCTGAACCGTTAATCCTAATTCCACTTTTCTCGTGTCTCAGGTGTGATCCGGACCACAGAGACATTGGACCGTGAGATGATGCCTCACTACTGGCTCTCTGTTTACGTCACTGATCTGGGAACAGAGCCTCTTGTCTCTTGGACTCACGTCTACCTGGAGGTCCTGGACGTTAACGACAACGCTCCAGAACTTTCTCAGCCGGTGTATTTCGCGTCTGTCCCGGAGAACGTGAACACGGTCAAATCCGTCGTCCAGGTGTCGGCCAACGACGTGGACACTTCCTCTGAGGGGAAGCTTTCCTTCCAGATGCTGGAGTCTCACCGGACGTACTTCGATGTGGATCCCAAAACAGGTAATTGATAGAGGTTCTGTTCTGCTTTTTGGGGTTTCCCCTCTTCTGTAGTGTGTTCTGTAGGTTTGTGTGCATGGTCTACAAAGGCTGGGAATACAATACAATACAGTTACACTTTAAAACCTCCAGACCAAAGTGCTGTACAGTCAAACAAACATACACAAATCACACAGCTCAGCTCACACACCATCACAAGACATGCTGCCATTGAAGCACAAAGCTTTCCTTGTAAATGTACTTGTTTCCGTCCTTTACAAGCCTTCAAACACAACATCTCAGGAAAGCCTCAAGAGAATTTCTTCAAATGTTGCACAAATATCTAAATTAACTTCATAGTCAAAGGTATGGTGTTACAAAAACATATTTTTTTATTAATTCAGGTGGCAGATATGACAATTTTACACAAATGTCTAATGAGTGATTACATTTTACACAAATGGATTAGCATGCAACCAGTGGGGGGTAACTCTACTTCCAGATTGAAGATTTGTATAAACTCTGTTAGCAGCTATACAAAGGGTAAACAGGCTTATAATGTCAAAGTATGCACCTCTATCTCCTATATAAGGTGTCACACTAAGAGACATTTCCTGCAATTGTAGACATTGTTTCTAAGTACAAATTAGGAAAAACCCATGACATGTACACATGAACTAGGCCTTGCTTTGTGACAGTAGGTGTAGATATTTAAACATTCAGCATGGCCCTGAAAGATGTCATGCTGTTTTACGGGCTGGCAGATATACAGTCTCTCTGGGATTTGAACTGTAATTGGATCAGCCTGCACCATGTCATCTTTCTATTTTATAAGCAGATTGGACAGAAATATAGGCAACCTGCTCCATGTGAGTGATTTACATTTGGATTCAATCTCCCCGTGTGATTATAAAACATTCACATGGCCTCTGTGCTTTCACAAATTGCTTCGAACATACCTGAATTGGTCGCAATGTCCCTGAGGTAGATTTACACTTTGATTGAGGTGTATAACTGCAGCTGTAAAACCCCCACAGCGAGTTATAACCCACTAAGGGTGGCTGGGAATTGACTGATATGTCCTAATGCACTGTTGCAAGTCTGAGCAAAGCAAGCCATGCAGAACCCGGGGCGTGTCACAGATGGGACAAAGCTAGAAATGAAACTTCATAATGAGAAACTCTGTCAGAGGTCATTCACAAAGCCACTCATGTGCAGACTAAAGGGATTTTTGGAGAGAAACTTCAAGTGTCATGTTTAGAAGAGGCTTGAACCCCCCCCCCCCCCGCTCAGGGACATGCATGTTCATATTTGAGAGTTGCAACTATGATGTTCAGGCAAATCAGCGTAGCATTAGCTCTACAAGTCCCTACAAGCCCTGTCCTCTCCACGTAATCTCCAGGTAGCTCCGGTGTTTATCCACACCCTAAAGGCCAGTATGCCCAAGGATCACGGTGTAATGGAGAGATGTCTCACCGCCGGATAGTGGCACTTTAAATCAAGCTGTTTTTGTGCTGAAGAAGGTGTATTTGTGATTCACGAGGAATGCATTCAAGCTCAGGATGACAAATGTGTTTCCTTGAAGAGGGCGATTGTGTTCTGTTCAGACTGACGATTATCCTAATGTCAAGAGTTGTTTTTACTGAGGTAATTGATATGTTGAAGACACAGATTCATAGAGAAATGCTGCTTTAATTGTTCATTCTCCAATTGGATCTCCTTCCAAAAGTTAATCGGTCTTTTTGAGATGATAATGGCCTTAACCCTAACCCTAACCCTAACACACCGTACATGGTAGTTTAAAATAACACAACACCGGTGTAACCCTTACCCAAACAAACAACACATTACAACAGAGAATCAGTGGAAGCAGTACAAAGAAACTGCAACAACTATGATTAAAATAAGATTGTAGTATCATTAGCTCTAAAAGAAGTGCTGTAATTACACAGAAACTCCTAAAAGATATTATAAAGCCAAAGGAATGTGGACAACCCCAAACACGCTCTTGTGTAGATTTAGGTTTTTGGCTGTTGTTCATGGTTTGGGCTTGGCCCCTTTGTGGTAAATGAAGATACATTCTTAATTTATCAGCATATAAAGACAGTTTAGACAAACATGTTACAACTTTTTGGAAACAGTTTGTATTTGTCCTTTTTCCTGTAATCACATGACATAAAACCAACCCATTATAACATGTCTGGGATGAACTGAAACAACTCTGTCCCACCTACGAATGACCCAATAACAATTGTCCCCTGATACCGATACCAACCCAAAACCAGCTTTTAAAACTGAGATTCTTAATAATATAATAGAGTTGTGCAGTAATGAGTCCTAAAACACGGAAATGACTACCACCTTTCGTTCCCTTGGCTCGCTGTCAATGGTTTTCTGAATGTGTTTTTGGTTGTTAGCCTGAAATAAGGACTATGGTTAACACAAGCTGAAGAGATTTTAAAGGTTTGTTCTACGACATAAAATCTGTCACCAAATGCCCCATGGAGGTTACTAACAAGAGTCTAAATGAGACGACTAAACATCATCACACCCAACATTAGCCTCCTTTAGCTTAGCGGTGGTGGCGTGAAGTCATGTGACCGTGCTGTAGTTCCTTTATAGCCCAACATTAGCCACCTTTAGCTTAGCGGTGGTGACGTGAAGTCATGTGACCGTGCTGTAGTTCCTTTATAGCCCAACATTAGCCACCTTTAGCTTAGCGGTGGTGACGTGAAGTCATGTGACCGTGCTGTAGTTCCTTTATAGCCCAACATTAGCCACCTTTAGCTTAGCGGTGGTGACGTGAAGTCATGTGACCGTGCTGTAGTTCCTTTATAGCCCAACATTAGCCGCCTTTAGCTTAGCGGTGGTGACGTGAAGTCATGTGACCGTGCTGTAGTTCCTTTATAGCCCAACATTAGCCGCCTTTAGCTTAGCGGTGGTGACGTGAAGTCATGTGACCGTGCTGTAGTTCCTTTATAGCCCAATTAGCCACCTTTAGCTTAGCGGTGGTGAGACCTGATACAAGGTGCCTTCTGATCCCCATCTCCTTTACACTCTTAAACCGAGTCCCTATGAACCAGTAACAACGAAGATTGAAATTTTAGGTCCGGCATCTAAAGGGAAAACAGTGACGAAATTAAATTGATAAGTGTAGAGTGGGACGTGACATTGAAAATAAGTACACGGACACAAAAGACAAGCAACAATTGCAATTATAAGAGAGATTTCTACAGAGCGTCCTGAAGCACCACAGACCGTCACAAACGGAAGTACACCGACCTAGACGGAGTACGCGCAACCTCGATTTCCAAACAGCTGGCACTTTTGTCGGTCCTAGCCTCTCCCGAGCAGGTGCGAGTAGCGGCGGACGCTCTCTGGCCTCTTGGCGCGGCACTTCAGTTGCTGGGGTCTCACAGGCGGAGTTGTTGGAGGGCACTGAGTGGCGACATTTGTTCTTATATATTCCTCCGACATCCTATCAGGCTTTTTAGAAATTTCACTGAGGAAAATCTTGACAGGACAAGGGGAGCACGATCTTTCAGTTACAAATCGGCACTTTATCTCCAGTCACATTGGTGTCGACTAAATTGAAAACAGACAACAAGGAATTGTGAAAGGACAAGGCAGCAAATTTCGTGAAGCCTTAATAACTTTTATTATTTGAGATAGTTTGTTGTAAAACTATGAATGTATAAACAAGTCGTCATATTAGAGGTGTATATTGATCGGTGAAGTACTAAAAACTTCATTTCTGGATTGCAATCCGGGTTATTTCTTGATGTCGTGCCAGGT